GTAGTATCATATTTTATTTTATTTTAAAGAACACATTTCAAATGTGTAACTGTGTTTTGACAAAACAACTTTGCACACATCTTTGCACCCTCAAACTACAAAGAGAAAAACAGCGAGAACAGACATTCCTTTTTTTACCTCTTTCTAGTTTAACTAGATTTGATTTTATTAGGTATGTTTATTTTTTGTTTGGTTTCAGTTTTAACTTTATTTTTAGCAGGAGAGTAGCAAGGTTATAGTTAACTAAATATGAAACTGAATTAGAACATTTTCACTTCTTGAAATAACAACTATAACTATAATATCTCAGTGATACTAAAATAATGCTGGTGGGTAGTACTTTTACTTTTACTTGCATTTCTGTCTTTTAAAAATGACTTTTAGTTTTGTTTAGCTATTTTTAGTTGTTTTGTCAGTGTTTGAGTTCTGTTGCTATAAGCTGTTTCTGCCTGTTCAGCAGGACATTTCAACTGTCATAACTCATTTAATTCTGTTCATTTATGATTCTACAACATTGTCTGGATCAACTTTAGACTGTCAATAAAAACAAGTGTCTTTCCTGTTTTCATTCAGGGTTTCTGTGGGTCTTCAAATGTCTTAAAAAGTCTTAAATCAGAGCAGAAAGTCTTTATACATTTATGATGAATTCGTAAATTCACTTAAAAAAAAGAACATCTTTCCCAGTATTTTTGTCTTATTTTCTATATCTCTTATCTTTATATCATGAAATATTTACTTGAGATGCAAAATGAAGATATAAAGAACAAAATTAGAGTTTAAGCTTAAAACAAGAACAAATATCTGTCAGTGAGGAATAAAAACTTGTTTCCCTTTGAATGAAGCTGATTTTTCTGAGCCCATTGGCAGTTATTTGTTCTCATTTTAATCATAAACTCCACTTCAGTTTCTCAGAAAACAACACTTATTATCTTAATTTTGCTTCTGCAGTAAATGTATCTTGCTTTAAGAATCTTTAGACATTTGCACTGGAATACGAGATAAAAAATACTGAGGAAGAACAGCACTTTTTTTGCAATGTGATTAGAAGGTACAGTAAGTTACTTGACCACATGAAGTTTTATTTAAATTTTTTGTACTGGAGATCTAGTTCAATTAATGGAGATCTATTGTAAATTGTATTTTGAAACTCTGAAGTGTTATTTACATTTAGAGATCATTATGTATTGTGTTCCCTTCAATTTATTCCTTAAACTCTCTTTACTTGGTCTTAAAAAGTCGTAAATTCACATGCAAATCTTCAGCTTGATTATTTGATTTTGTGAGAATATTTAGCTCATCTTCCTCTCTGTGTCTGAAGTCCATCAAGCTTCATCGGCCGCTGGACATGAGGAGGAACTCGCGCTCACTGTACCTCGGACGCATGTTTAGTGGGATTCCTGTGGTCCGGCTGCGCTTCCGCCGCAGGGTCCAGACCGGGTGAGCACGCATGATGGTTTTCAGGATTAGTACTGCAGCAGTAAGATCACTGTAACAGCCGATTTCATGTTGTGTTTGATACTGACTCCCTGTTTCCTCTCAGATTCATGGCAGAGTTTGACCTTAGGACCTACGACCCCGAAGGTGTGATCTTCTTTGCCGGCGGCCACTTGAACAGCTCCTGGATTGTTCTGGTGATGCATCATGGGAAGCTGGAGCTGCAGCTGAAATACGGAGCCGTGAGTCGAGTGACCAGCAGTGGACCGCAGGTCAATGATGGCCAGTGGCATAAGGTCAGAGGTCACTGCAGGGGTCACGCTAAACAACACACACGATTGAGACACAGAGCAGTTCACACATGACACATTGAGCTCATGTGAGATGCAGGTTTGAGTTTGGCTAGCACTGTGGTTCTCCCTTATTTTACGCATCTGATTCATTAGGAGAAAGCTCTGTGAACTGAACTGGGTGTGTCCCCAGGACCAGGATTAAGAACCACTGGGCTAGCAACATCTCACAATTCTATTCTCTCTTATTTTTAAAATTTTACAACATTAAAACTGTTATTTTCCTGTTTATTACTGTAAAGCTGCTTTGAAACGATCTGTGTTGTAAAAACTGCTATAGAAACAAATGCAACTCGACTCTCTCCTCATTGGTCCACTCAGATCTCAGTTGAGGAACAGGGGCGGAGCCTCATCATCAAGATTGACAGGGAGGCGGTGATGAAGATCGCAGTGAACG